TGAAATTTTGGGGCGTTACACATTTTCTCACCAATCACTATTTTAAAAATTTTCAGCCCCAAAAATGGTGGCTGTACAGGGGCATTAAATACTTCATTAATTTGTTGCTATAACAAAGCTGTTCGCATTACGGCCCTGTTTGGGAGGGATTTAGATTTTTGTACAGTAAATCAATTCTTATTTTCAACTATACATTCTTCAATAAAATAATATTTTTCATCACATCAATAATTTTTCTTCTTTTTAAATCACACATTTCCCATCATATCACTATTCAAAATCAATTATTCCCCAAAACATCCCTCCCAAACAACCTCTACATTTTGATGTAATTTTCTATCTTTCAATACTTTGAGCACATATCAGAGATGCCTTATGCTGCTCTTCTTTCTCTTGCTCAAATTCTACATCAGACCCTAAATCGTGATTATCAATATTTGATTCTAGATGAGAAAAAGCAAATTGAATCACTTGTCGAAGAAGTTACTTTCTTACAAAATCGTTTGTCTTCACCAAAAATAACACGAGATTTGAAGAAAAAAATCAGGGATGCAGCATATGCTGCCGAAGATGTCATTGAATCCCGCATGATAGATCGATTTCTTACAGAATCTGCAGGTCATGAAGTTGGGAGCAAAGAGAAAATATTGATAAGATTCGATGTTTTATAGACCTGGATTGTTAATTCATCAACATCTGCCTCCAGCTTCCTGAGCACTTCGTTCGGTTTTAAATCATCGGAACTTGAAATTGCGGGAGTGGGTGGAATCGGTAAGATTATCCGTGCTAAATAAGTTCACCATAATTCATTATTATTGTGTATAATTTTCGGACAACAATATATAGGAACTAATCTATAATATATTAAGCCCCGTTTGCCCCCATTGAAATTATAATACATTTTTTGTTTTCTTTTTCAACCACATATTTTTCAATAAAATAATATTACGAATATTTTTCCTTATCTTTCAACCCTCCATTCTTCAAAAAAACATCATTCCAAAAATTATAATACAAAATAATGAGGGTCAAACGGGAGCAAACTATCATATAGTGTGGAAATCACTTTATTTATGTAAATAAACATAAAGTCCATAAATACACCATCTAACTGCTCGGTGCTCGCTTGTAAACTGTTGAACGAGAGAACTTGCAATTATTGAAGGTGTTAACTTTTGAAACGTAAAATGCTCTTTAATTAAAGAGTTATAATCCTTAAATTTAGACTCCAATACAATTTTTTAATCTAACTTTTTAAAATAAAGACTTAATTATATTAAATGCGTTTAATGAAACACAGTGCCAGTGGTGGCCCGCATAAAGGGCATTCGACAACTTGCTAAAACTCGCCGATTCAAGGTACGGACTTCCCTACACTCTTTAGTTTTTTCATTTAATTTTTTCGTTTCAATTTACTTGTACTGTCATCTTACAATCAGTTTATGAGTAAAATGTTTGAACAATCACGACACTTTAACATGGTCACAACTTACTCACTGAACTTCAAAATGCGTCTCAATGGTCACTGAACTTTCGACCGTTGCACCACATCCAACACTCA